AATAATACTTTAATTATATTATTATTATAATATATATATATATATATATATATATATTATATTTTAAAAAATATCCTTAACCATATTCATAATAGATAATATTTTTATAAAATATTTTTAAATTGAAAACATTAAATAAGATTGACTTAATTAAAATTTATTTATATTTCAATTAAAAAAATATAAGATTTTTTTACTTATATATAAAAATTAAAAAGAGTATAAAAAATAATATATAAGTAACTTTATATACTCTTTTTAATTTTTATATACAAGTAAAAAAACCTAAATTTTTTATTAAGTATTACACTGCTCAATAACTTTATATTAAATATAAATTTTGTAAATTCAACCGTTAGATTAAATTTTTTTTACTCTTATATCATATATACAAAATTTTATATTAATTCAAGATGATTTGATACTTCATTCTTATAAAATAAAATTGACGTAATATATATAAATATATATGTATATATATATTTTTTAAAATATAATAAAATATGAACACTTTGATTGCTTTCAAGTTGTTGTTTAATTTTAACAAAATTTGGTATATACATATAAAGTGATATGAACTTTCAATCTAACGGTTGAATTTATAAAATTCACATTTAATATAAAATTATTGAACAATATAATACTTAGTAAAAATTACATCAATATCATTTGAATCCTCCTCATATATATATATTCCTTCTTAATGTGTTTATAAAAACTTGAAAATACAATCATTATAAAATAGAGGAAATACACTTATTTTTTTTTTTTTGTTGATATATCGCTTACTAATATGAAAAATATTTTGTTTAAATATGATAAATGTTATAGAACGTAGGGAGTATATTTATAAGCAGATGGAGTAAATAGTAATGCATGGCATAAATGCATTTTTGAGGGTTCATATTAATCTTAATCATGACATGGAAGAAATGAAGAGAAAAGAGTATCCATTTTCCAATGAAATGAGGTCTTAAATATTCTGATGAAAGAGACAGAGAGTTGTTTGCATGGGTTTTTCCTTTGCATCGAAGTGGTCAAACATCATTTATGTTCATAAAGAGCCTCTGCACCTCATGAGGAGATGCAATGCAATTTGCCAATTTCAATTTACTCTGACGTTATGGAAACTTTAATTAAAATATTAAAATCTCAAATGTGCCAACTGTGAATGCTCATAGCTAGCTGTCACGGTAATGTGGTAAAAAAGGTTTAGGTAAATGCTGTAATAAATACTACACCCTCGATTTCACATTTTTAATCCACTTAAATATGTTTTCAGATTTTTTTTTCAATTTTAAAATTAAATTTTAATTTTATTTTAATCTTTTAAATTATTAATAATACATTCAAAGATGTAAATATTTATGTAATATTAATTAGATTTAATATAATATTTTTATTAATAAATAAATTTTATGCGATTATATTTGATAAATTATTTAAAAAATTTGAATATAAAAATTAGAATATTTTTATAATTATAAAATTAAAAAGATTATATTTATATTTGAGGAACTAAAAATATATTTAAATTATTTTATATTTTTAATATTTCATTATCTTAACTTTATTTTTTTTGAAAAATTCTCAACTTTATAAGTGTTAAATAATTAACAAAAATTAATTTATTAATAGTTAATGTGAACAATTACTGTAAACAATATTACTAAAAAATGTAATAAGTTAATTTTTAATTAATTATAATAAAACATCTAAAAAAGTAATTTCATATAAATTTATGATTTTTTTGTAAAATAATAATCCATTCATAATTTTGAAAACACTTAATTACATGAATTATTATTAGAATAATTTGTAATAATTATTTACTGAAATTAAAATTATATATATATATATATATATAAAAGATTCATTGCTGAAAGTTATTGTAAAAAAATAGGTTAACCTATAAATAATTTATGTAAATAATTATTTTACAAAAATTAAGTAATATAACAAACATTTAACCTAAATAATTTAATTTTATGAAATCCATTAATTTATAACAATAAAGTATCTGAACAACAAAATAATAAAGTTATATTTATTTTATTATTTGTTATGGAAATTTAATAAAAATTGGTCTTTTAATAATCTTTGTAATCAATAAAAGAAAAAATAAATCAATCAAATAACCAATCAAATTAATTTAATAATTTAATATATTAATTAATTGATTAAATATATTTAATTATTGTCATAAAATATAACCAAATTACTATACATGTAGTAATATATTATAACTGTAAGATTAATATATATAACGATTTATTTTTTTATGTAAGTCTGAATTTAGTTTGTTATTTAAAAACTAATATTTTTAGAAAATATTATTTTTTGGGAATGACTTTTACATAAATTTTTGATGAAATTATTCTCATGAAAAGATGAAAAATTAACTTTTTCAAAGTAAAAATAAAATTTTAATACAATAAAGATAATATTATATTATCTTTATTTGATTATTTAATATAGTAAAAAATTATTGATTTTTATATAATATTTTAAAATATTTTTAAAAAAGTTTATGATAAATTAAACAGATTTTTATAATTCTTGAAAATTATAATTGTGAAGACTTATGATTTCCAAAAAAATTTGGAGATGAAAAAAATTATTATGTACTAAATGCCCTTTTAATGTGGACAATCTTACCTATTAAATAAGTTAAATATAAATGTTTAGTAAATAGAATATAAAATTAAATTGTTCAAAGTGACTATCATATATTCATTTTATAATTTTGTTCGAGAGAATATAATATATTCATGTAATAATAAAATTTTAAATATTATATTTTGATCGGATATATTTTCATCTTTTAATTAATCGGCCCTTATAAACAAGATCTTAATTAATGTATGATATCAGTATATTATTTTATTAATATAAAAAAACTATTAACATATACAAACATTAAACATCTTTAAAATTTGAAGGCTTTCTCCAAATTTTTGCTAGTAATTAATAAAAAGGAAAACATTATTAATTTTTTTCTTAATTTTTTACAAACCTATATCGTAAGTCGTAACAACGCATACGCATGCTTTCAAAATTTAGTTGACAGCTAGAGACATCCCATGCTTCTCCCTGAAACTATTATTTGCTATCAGATGAATATGAGAATTTGGATATAATCAAAAATTACCATTACAAAGCTAGCAGAGAAAGAGCAAAATCAATTACCCTTGTAATTTCAACCCACATCGAGATTACCATTTGTGTGAATAATTATATTTGAGCATATGGGGTTCATATTTCAAGTGCCATAATCCGTTTACAAATTTGACATTTATTTGTTGAATTCAATTTCGAAACATACAGCGTATGCCAGCAAATGTGTTTGGCACCTACCTATTCACTGCGTATCCACATGTCCTTTCTGCTCTTATGCTTCGACCCTGCGACAATTTCCCTAATCACAATCATAACTCTTTTCACAAAATCAAATCCAATTCAATACTAGTACTATACAAAATATTCTCAAAATACGTATTTATTGATTAACGCAATTAATAGGGAGCGTTTCGAATTACGTATCCAGTTTAAACTTTGGTCTTGATAAGACGATTTTATTACATGTCACAACAAGAATCATACTTTTGTATTTCACAAAAAGGGAAATAAAAAATACACCAATAATGAACCAGGTGGCAGAAAGCAAAAAAAAAAAAAGTATACGTAAAAGAGAAAAGGAAAAGGAAATTCCTTGCTTAACAGGAGCAGCCAATGTGTTAAAACCAGACACGTCCAAAACTAGAGAGAGAGAGAGAGAAATAAAAGAAGAGAGAGAAAGTGATGGATGAATAAATGAATGAAATGAATCTCGTATAAGTAGGTCATAGATTTCACTTTCTCAGAACTCCAGCTTCTTCTCTCTCTCTCTGGAACTTCACGAATCGTTCCAGAGAAAAACCCCAAACCGAAACCGCGTTTTCTTTAAAACGCACCACCAAAAGAAACAAAGAAAGCGAAACGCAAAAGTCAAGAACAGAACAAGAAATGCCACCGTTTTTCTCCTTCTTCTTTCTCACAGCAATGCCATTGTAGCAAAGCACCCTTTCATTTTCTTCCACCAAGAACCGATTTTGCCACCGACCCATTACTCCAATGCTTCCCCTCCGCCTAAGCGCCGTCGTCTCGTCCCTCATTCTCTGCTTCCTCCTCCCCCCCTTCTGCCTCGGAATCCGCTCCTTTCCGACCACCGAAGACGGCGGCCACCGCTACGCGGAGGCCCCGGATTACCGCAACGGCGCCGGCTGCCCCGCCGCCTCCTCCGGGCACTCCCTCCTCCCCTCCTGCGACCCCTCTCTGGTCCACATCGCCATGACCCTCGACTCCGGCTACCTCCGCGGCTCCATCGCCGCCGTCCACTCCGTCCTCCGCCACTCCTCCTGCCCGGAAAACGTGTTCTTCCACTTCGTGGCCGCCGAGTTCGACCCGGCAAGCCCCCGGGTCCTGACCCGACTCGTTCGCTCCATCTTCCCCTCTCTGAACTTCAAAGTTTACATCTTTCGCGAAGACACAGTGATAAACCTAATCTCCTCTTCAATCCGACAAGCCCTGGAAAACCCCTTGAACTACGCGCGCAACTACCTCGGCGACATGCTGGACCCCTGCGTGGACCGCGTGATCTACCTCGACTCCGACGTGGTCGTGGTCGACGACGTACGCAAGCTCTGGCGCGTGGCACTCGCAGGGTCGCGCGTGATCGGCGCGCCGGAGTATTGCCACGCGAACTTCACCAAGTACTTCACGGACGAGTTCTGGAACGACCCCGTTTTGTCGCGCGTGTTCGCGTCTCGGACCCCGTGCTACTTCAACACGGGGGTGATGGTGATGGACTTGGTGAGGTGGAGAGAGGGGAACTTTAGGAAGAAAATCGAGAACTGGATGGAACTCCAGAGGAAGAAGAGGATTTACGAGTTGGGGTCTTTGCCTCCTTTTTTGCTTGTTTTTGCGGGCAATGTTGAGGCTATTGACCATCGGTGGAACCAGCATGGGCTTGGTGGGGACAACGTCAATGGTGTTTGTAGGTCCCTTCATCCTGGGCCTGTCAGTTTGTTGCATTGGAGTGGTAAGGGCAAGCCTTGGGTTAGGCTTGATGACAAGCAGCCTTGTCCTTTGGATCGTCTTTGGGAGCCTTATGATTTGTATAAGCCCAAGCAACTCAGGGATGATACGGTTAGGGATCAGAATTGGGGTTTCTCTTCTTCTATTTTGGTTGGTTATGCTCATGATTTGTTATGATCATGATGATGATGATGATCGTCGTGGTGGTGCTGATTCTTTGGTGCATTTGTTGTTCAGAGATTCTTTGTTAGCGATGTACAGATTGTTCGGTAGAGGAGATTTGTTGGGGCTTCATTCTTTCTGTAGAATTTCTCTTCTTTTTTTTTCTTTTAAGGTGTTTAAATTCTTGTGCTTTATTACAAAATATGGAATTTCGATTCTTTTCTCTGCTGGGGGGTTCCTTCTCTTGGAACAATTTTGGTGGGTTTGTATGGGACCATTCATTGTATGTGCCAAACAAAGTGCAGAATAACAGACAGTTGTTCATTGTTTTATTTGGATTGCGTTTCTATCATCTTTTGTTTCCTTTCCTACCTGTGACCATCACAGAGTGATGAATCGTCAAGTGTTTTAGGTCTCACACAGTGATAAAAAAACTGTCACGAAAACCTATAATAGGGAAAGTATAGAGAGGCTTGTTTTGTTTTATGTATTGGGAAAAAAAGTTGTAAAAGGAATTAGTAGCTAAGGGTGCTTGTGAGGGCACATTGCCACTTGTCATGTTATGATTGAGAATTGATCACGGAATGACTATGATTTAAGGGTAAAGGGAAGGGGAAACTCACGGTTGTTTCCTTTGGCTTGAGGAAACTGAAATGCCTAACCTAAGTGATCGTAAATTTCACTTATCAACAACAACTTTAGACCCCACACAGCTCATGTTATTTGGAAAGTTCTACGCGTAAGGATAAATCATTGCAACTTCGCCTTGTTGCCAATTTTTCTACACAGCCGTCATGTCACGGACTCTTCTCAAGACGTCAAGAGAATCCAAGGAAGCCATTAATACCAATTTGGACACTTTTTATTCTCCATTTAAACTTCGTAATTAATACTATTAAACTTATAATTCCACTCGAATAAGATAAAGATCATTTCAATTTAGTTAGTTTTAAATTCTGAATTTCTAAATAAAATTATGGGAGACATTTCAAAATTGTCTATTTAGTGAAAAAATATCAATTAAAATAAGTTTAAATATCAAATGAAAATAGTAATGCTGATTATTTATTTATTTATTTATTTCATTGAGAGGACTTGCGTGCCATGTGTCGAACATGAAGTCATGGCTTGCTTTCCTGGTTTAGAAAAGTTGACCAGATGAGGTGTACCGTTATAATGTCAGTTTCAAATGAAATTTTGCATTTGCTTGCGGAATCGAACTACAGGGGAAATTTTCATAATATTATTTGCAGCCAAACATGCTGGCATTTGGCAATTACATTATTTGCAGCATGTCTTCAACAAAAATGAGTTGTATAAAACAATGATTGGGGGAACATAAAGTAAATTAGTTATTGCAGTGATTTAAACAGGAATAAAAACTTTTGCTCTACAGACTTTCGAATATAGCACAAGACGTTCACTTTTATCAAAAAATTTCAATGATTTATATCCATCTATTTCCTCCATTCAAATCCTAACACCTATGACCTAACATGTATGAACAAAACTATTTTATTCTTTTCAAGAAAAATGTCAAAATTAAAAGTGGAAACTGAAAAACATGCTCCCAATTGCATTATTTGCGTCATGTCTGCAGCAAAAATGAGATCAAAATTCAAAAGAACAATGATTGAGATAAAGAAGGTATAAACAGAGAAATAATTTTTATTGCTGTATCATACTAAGTTATTATTTTTTTATTCCTTAAGAAATTCAAATTCAGTTATACTCGGAGTAATTTGATGGATCATGTGGGTAGAGTTTACAGACATTCAGATTACTAGACTTTCACTTTTTTCATTATCCTTAAAATAAAGTGCCAGCTATTTAAAATATGTCAACAAATTAAAAATAGCAAAGCAATCCATCCATTCAAAGAGGGGAAAAAAAGGATAAACGTACTTCACTCCACAATAATATTCAATACACGACTCAGATCAACCACCTGATTTTAATTTGATTATAAAACATGTATTGTAACATGACGGTTTGCATGTCTCTTTCTTTTCAATTTTTAAAAACGCAATCTGACATTTAAAATATGCCAAACTAACACCATGTTTCCACCTAGGATCCCAAACAAAACGCAATAAGAAATTAAGTAATATTTGTAACAATAATTGGATCACCATAATAATCACCCTCCAAGATTTTCACGAATAATATCCACTTCTCTGGTGCTAATTTGGAAAGCCCTCTTGAGAATTTCCACAGGAATGGGGGGCTTGCTAGCAAATGTTGCAAGTGATGCAATTTGCGAACCTGGGTTCTGGCTATTGAGCCCAGAAAGGGCCAGTGCGGGCTCTTTCGTGTCACGGTTGAACAAGAAATGGATCAGGCCCTTTGGGAACACAAATGACTCACCGGGCCTCAGGTTCTGGGTGAAGACGCGGTTATTTGTGTCAATGAAGCCCACAAGAAGCAGGCCCTTAAGGCAAGTGGTTACTTCCGAGGCCCGTGGGTGGGAGTGAGGTGGCACGATCCCATTAGCCGCTATGTCAACGCGGGCCAGTACCAGGCCCAATGTGTTAAGCCCAGGAAGGTTAACAGTGTTAGTGGCTGTGACGCTGAAGCCGAATGTGTTACTAGTGTTGCCAGTTTTGGACAAAGCAGAAGTGACAAAATGGGATGGGGAAACTTGCTCTGGGTTGATGCAAGGAACACCGTTGATGAAAAATTCGTTTTTGTTATCTGCAACGCAGTAGTCTTGAAGTGGGTCAGGGTCGGGTCTGGCTTGGCCCAATAGAAGGAGTAGGGTGAACAAAAATAGTGGAAGAAAGTGAAAATCAAAATGGGTTCTCATTTTGGGTATAATTGAGGAAACAAGTCAAAGGACAATAATAATTTATGTGGCACCGTTGTTGGAGTGTGGATTCTAGCAGCATAAGCCAAATTGTATATATACACGTAGAATAGAGAGAGAGAGCAGGTGGTGGATGTTGATGTTGATTTAACTTTTCATGTGTGTTGTGGGGTGAGGTGATTGAGTAGCTTAAGAGCATAGGCTGAGGAAGGGACAAGTTAAAGCTTAAAGAAAATTTGATCAAGTAATAGTAAGCCACACAAGGGGGGTGATGTATACATTCTATTCGACTGAAAATGATTTGTGATTAACATGCTTAATATTCCCAGGCCAGGGCCAATGTTGCTAATTTCATTCTTTAATTGGGCTTGGGCCCATTTATGGACTATCACTCTACAACTCAAACGCTGTCGTTTGAAGTAGTAGGGGCTAGTACAACATTGTTTTTGTTCTTCTTTGAGGTTGTAGGGACTAACACCCTTTTTTTTTTTTTATGTACACCACAACTAAATATTCTGAGAGACCATTTTATTCGTCAAGACAAGATAAGATCAGATGATAAAATTTATTTTCAAAGTATTTATTAATATATGGTATATTCATGATTTAAATTCAAAATTACTAATATAATATATTAGTGACTCAAATTCGAGATTAGTAATTAGTAATGACAAACTCCATATACATAATTATATATACAGATGGTATGATATATATTTTGGATTATGTTCATCTAATTCAATAATGGTCCACATGTGGCCCAAGTGACATGTATAATAAATTGAGACCCGTCACATGCAACCTTTCCAAACGCTGCACAATAGTTCAGCTTTTGTTGATGTGGGCCTTCCTTTCTTGCCTTGCATTGTTGATCTGATCTAATCATCACCGCCTTGGGGTTATTGTTACTGGGTCTCTTTCTTTGAACCATCTAGTATAGAGATATTCGTTAGTTTAATTAGAGGAAGATTTTCAAGTATGGTTGTGACTTGACTTGTGATCTCCTTGTTTTATTATTCAATGCATGCCCACTTCGTTTAATTGAAGTTCTGTGAATAAATTGAGACAACTAATCACATTTATCCGTATAATTATTTGCTAAAATGGTATAGCATATTTTTGTTCCATTTTTTTATTTTAGTTTTTACCATGTACAGGTTTTCCCTTCATTGCTCTATGTCTTGTCCTTGTGATCCCTGAAGTCTAATCAAAACTGATTCAACCTTGGCCCCTCACTAGAAAGGAGTGGTACTTATTACCATTAAAAGTTAATTCTTCTTTTAGGAATAAAATATACAGTTGTGATCTTGAACCCTGAAGAAATTTAGCACTTTGCTCTAATTCTTGCTTGTGGGGGATATTGGATTGTTTATGATTGGGTTTTTTCATCTTAGGAGTTTCCTGAAGTACCACAAGCAGACAAAGGGTTTCGTTACTGTAGAGAAGTGAAATAGAAATTGATGTAAAGGAAAAAAATGAGTATTCTCTCACTCGAAAATCCACATGCACATGTCCCTGCTATTCCCTTCCTCATCATTTGCTGCAAATTATTTTAGACTCTTCTTTTTGTCCTATTGTGAGCATTCTTACTCCTGGTCTTTTCAGTGAGATATCCAGGAATGATTAGTCTCCGGTTGCTTGTTTGCAGGCTATACTGTGCATAGCTTCTGTCTTTGGGGTTGTGGCTAAGAAGTAATTTACTTCTATGGGTGAATTTCTTGTGGATGAAACAGTGCTTGAAGATAAGGTGAACCCATTTTTCATTAAGGTTTTTTCAGATTAGAAATTGATTCTTTTATATTTACATTATTGTTCCTTGCAAATCTGTCTTGCTCTCTGGTTGGATCACGTCCCAAATTATGATTGTTAAAATCCTGTTCTCTTTTTGGTGTTGTTTGTGAGTTGTCCTTGTGTTGTTGTCTGCAATCATGCACTCAAGTTTTTGTTTTTTTCCATGATACTGAAGCAGATGGGAGAGAGTGCTGCTTCCAATCCATCTTTGCAAGTGTCTGTTTCGTTTGGTAGATTTGAGAACGATTCCTTGTCATGGGAGAGATGGTCCTCTTTCTCTCCCAACAAGTACTTAGAAGAGGTTGAGAAGTGTGCCACTCCTGGATCAGTGGCCCAGAAGAAAGCTTACTTTGAAGCCCATTACAAGAAGGTTGCTGCTCGGAAAGCCGAATTGCTGGCACAAGAGAAGCAAAGGGAGAAAGATTCTTTCGGATCACAAGATCAAAGTGGAATAGATCTGAGTGGTAACACTGATGCAGAACTTGATGTATCCACCACTCAAGGTTCCAATGAAGGGGTTCAGCAAGAACAAAGTTCTGCTGAGATCCATAGGACCATTGTTAACGATTTTGCGGAGCAAGTTGCAGTTTCAAGTGATTACCAAAGTTCATCAGTTGAGGTTGAGAATAAAGAACCGGAAACTAGATCACATTCACATAGTTTCTTCCAGATATATGAACCTGAAGATGTATGCACGAAACAAGAAGAAAATCCTAACATTGAAGCTGAAGATGTGAAGGAAATTTCACATGTTGTGTACAAGGAGACAGGAAAGGCTTCAGAAATTGAAGCAAAAGATGTGAAATTGGATCATCCAAAGGAATCTAAGGTTTGAATTAATTCATATATCCATCAAATTCAAGTTCTTTCTTAAAGCTTAGCTATTTGGTTAGCCTGTTTTTTAATTTCTCGGCATCTATTTTGGACAGGTTAAATCTGTGAATAGGGTCAGCAATGCAGTCAAGACTAAGAAGAAGTCAGAGTTACCTACTGCTAAGGCACCCCAAATTTCCACACCAAGAAGTTCAAAGCCTGCACCAACTCCTACCAAAACAGTCACACCGACTTCTTCAACTAAGAAGGGAAATTCTCCATCTTTAACTAGGAGGCAAATTGCTTCCAGTGGGGAGAGCAGAAAAGTTGCTAACAAATCTTTGCACATGTCCATGAGCTTGGCTCCAAGTAATCCGGATCCAGCTCCTCACACTACCATGAGGAGATCTTTGATTATGGAGAAAATGGGGGATAAGGACATAGTCAAACGAGCATTTAAGACATTCCAGAATAGTTTCAACCAGCAAAAAAGTTCTGGTGAAGACAGATCTTTGATAAAGAAACAGGTAATTAGAAAATCTTAATGAAAAATTGTTTATTGTTTTCAGATTTTTTTTTATCCAGTATAAACGGGCATATTTTAACTGTATAAAAAATCATGTTGATTTTAAAAAATATTTTCCTCTTTATGGGTAGGTTCCTTCAAGAGGGACCGTGTCAAAGGTTCCAACATCTACAGCTTTGAGGAAAGAAAATGGACGGTAAATTTTTTAATCTGCATTATGATGTGTTTTCATTTGCACATGTTTCATTTCCTTTAATCTGCATTGATAAGTGCTTAAGATACCATCTGATGACATCATGTTTTTGTTGGTAGATTTCTTTTGAAGAATTCTAACCAAGAAAACTATAGATAAATGGATAGAATAAATGGGGAAAGTTAGGGAGATACTGTTATACAAGTGGTTCAAATATATATTATTACTTCTGATTTTATCCAACAATATCTCCTTGTAATTTTAATTGAAATTTCATCATAAGTTGAAATTTTCTCAATCTGACCCTCTTGATGTTATTGTTGAATAGGCCAACTAAGGTTGAGAGTCTGGATAAAAGTGGAAATGTCGTACGAAATACTTTGGGCCCAAAAAGTAACATTAGAGCAGAGAAAGGGAAAGAGGTAGGACTAGCTCTTGATGTTTTACTATCACATTCCAGTGCCTACAATACGAACAATATTCATTAGATTATGATAGTTCAACTGACCAAACACTGCCTTTTTTCACCTTTTGTTTCTTAACTAGTCTTCAAGAAAAATAGAGGAAAAATCTAACACAAAAGGGGTGGAAAGAATGCGTCCTCAATCAAAGTTGAAGGTAAATGGCACTCTTCCATGTTCCAGAATGTTTCTCTAGAATGACTAGCGGGAAAGAGGTAGGACTAGCTCTTGATGTTTTACTATCACATTCCAGTGCCTACAATACGAACAATATTCATTAGATTATGATAGTTCAACTGACCAAACACTGCCTTTTTTCACCTTTTGTTTCTTAACTAGTCTTCAAGAAAAATAGAGGAAAAATCTAACACAAAAGGGGTGGAAAGAATGCGTCCTCAATCAAAGTTGAAGGTAAATGGCACTCTTCCATGTTCCAGAATGTTTCTCTAGAATGACTAGCATTTCATACATTCCATCATGCGCTTGGCTTCACTTAAGTGTGTTTGCATAAATTTATATATTTATATTTATAGTGTATAGATAATAGTTTTAAACTTTGAAGATAAGCATAATGATACTAATCAGTAGAATCGGTGATCTGGGGTTTTTAGATGGTCCTTGCTATTTTCATCTATATATAAAGAATAAATGGCTTATCTGAACTCTGTATGCCCCAACACAGGAGGAAAAAGAGGCAGAGATGAAAAAGTTAAAACATAATGTCAAAGGCACACCCTTACCTGCTTTTTACCGTGGTCAAAAAGTAGTGAAAAGTCGTCCAGAGAAGGTACATGCCAATATTATAATATGCTATGCATTTGATCTGATACATGTTGATGTACCCTACATAAATTGCAGTTAATGTTTGTCAACTGACTGTTTCTTACCTTCTTTTTTATCTCTGGGGTAACAACTAACTATTTCTTTTCTTTTTATTTAATGCTATAAAACAATCTGAAAAACAACTACTATTATTTTTATTGATTGATCGCATTCCGGAGAAACATGCAAAAAAAAATGACTAGAATTATAAAACTTCTTTTGATTCAAGTAAGCTAAAACTTGCGTTCCTCAACTTATAATTGGTGCCTGTCTGGTTGTTGTTGACCGGCCAGTTAGGGAGATCTAGGGGACCTAGTTTTTTTTTTCTACTTTTTTTTGCTGAAAAATAAACCTGTTTTCTGCCAAATAAACAGTGGTTTGTGGGTCATACCAGACATAATAATAAAAGTTCCTGTTTACATTATACTACATTCTAATAGCATTTCTAGGAATACAGTACCCACTAAGAATGTATGATCTCAACTTATCAACGTGTTCCGGGATATCTTGTCAGTCATTACTAACCTCTACTATTTCCCTTCTAAACGTGTTAATGATGTCCTTTGGTTTCCTAAATTCAACAAATACAAAATCTAGGCGTCCAAGTTGGATTCTGCTTTTTTTTTTTTTTTTTTTTTTTCAGATATTCATTAACAATCCAAATTATATCCCATTAAATGAGCCCTGAGGCATGATTTATTTATTAATTTAGAGAAATTTTGCAATGATGTTATATAGTGCGCCTTTCTTTTTTAGAAAACTAGACCTCTATAAACATTACTAAATTGTGCTATTATGTTATATCTATTACATCAATATGTACCAAGGAAAAAGGGGAGGGGGGTGCAAAAGGGATTGACGAAAAGCCTATTCCATTAACTATTATTGTTTCATTCTACTCATGCAGGGCGATGCTAAAACTTAGAACCCTTAATGGCCCCACAAATGGTAAAGGAAGGAGAAAAGAGGTTAAATACATCAGTGTGTCAGGTAGATCTGTATGTTCAGGGGAAGTGTTAATGGAAACAGTTCAATGCTATGATATTCTTGTTTAGTAAGCAACAGAGGAGCAATCCTCTAGTTAAAATATAGGAGCTTGTGAACATTGTGAGGAGTAAGAGAAAGGAGAAGGCACTCGCACCCCTCCTAGTCTCCTAGGCTATATCTTGGTTAGAGAATAATATTGTATAATGTATGTAATGTAAAATGTGCATATATCTTTGTAATTGGTGGCATCAATTTTCTTCTTTACCCGTCCTATGGGTGATTTATATGTTATTTAACTCGTTGTAGACCATAAATCTGTAAGAAGCTTAGGTGATATAAACCTTGTCGATCAGTAGAGTTCAACTCACCCATCTCCCCATTCACGTGCATTGATGCAAGACTTTGTTACACTGGGAAACATGATTGAAGTATTTTCAGAATCAAGGGAAAGGACTAATTAAGTGGGTTACACAATGCAGATTACATTAATCGAAAATAAATTTTGCTGGCTGTGCTACCTATACGAGGAAAAATTCTCGTTCTAGCAATATGGAGGTTTGAACACCTGTACAGAAAGGCATCAAGGGAAAAACTTTCCTACTTATATATATATATAT